CCAACACACACATCTCTTACAGAGAGCTTCAGATCAAACAGGGATTGGCGGTCTCGGCTACAGTAAGAGGGATTCAGATTGCCTGGCATAAAGTAGTATTCTGTATGTTGCCAGTAGAGCTCATTATTGTTAGGGCCCGCACCATAAATAATACCCACCACCCCAAGTGATCTCATTCTTTAAACATCAATTAAGAAAGTCTATCTCCTTGAGAGCAGACGATATCTTATCTGTTCGTACATTCTCAAGGGGCCGACAAACACAGACCACGGCCTGGTCGGGCCAAAAGTTGGGAATATGATTATAATATGTCTTATAAAAGGATCGTGCGCCGGGCCTTGGGGCTCACTAGGCTAATCCTCCGCCTGCAGCGCCGGCACCCCAGGTTCTAGTCCCGGTTGGGGTGCCGGTTCTGTCCCGGTTGCTCCTCTTCCAGTCCAGCTCTCTGCTGTGGCCAGGGAGTACAATGGAGAATGGCCCAAGTCTTTGGGCCTTGTACCCTCATGGGAGACCAGGAGGAAGCACCTGGCTCCTGGCTTCAGATCGGAGTAGCGCGCCGGCTGTAGCAGCCACTTGGGAGGTGAACCAACGGAAAAAGGAAGACCTTTGTCTCTGTCTCTGTCTCTCTCTCACTGTCTAACTCCGCCTGTCCAAAAAAAAAAAACTTGAGATAATTCGAAGTATACAGGAGGACTGTGCACAGGCTACATGCGAATACTGCTCTGTTTTGTATAAGACCCTTGAGCATTCCTGGATTTTGGTGTCTTTGGGGGTGGGGGAAGCTGTTGTGGAGCCAGTTCCGCACAGAAACCGGGGGACGGCTGTGCTTCGCAACACAGGAAGGCGAATGATGACGGAAAGGAGGAGGGGTGACTGTTCTCTAAACACTGGGACCACTCATGGAAGTAGAGAAGCTGGATGGAGGAAGAGCTTTCCTGTAACAACATCTGATTTTTACGTATCTAAAGGTCCACGCACAACACCTCTGTGAGCCAGGTTTTTTTTTTTTTTTTTTTTTCCCTGTTCTCATCAACACTCTAAGGCCTCTAGGCCTGCAGTACTCCAACATGGAGTGGGTTTAAGTCTCTCCCTGCCTCCCCGTGTGGGCAAAGTGCTGTGAGGATGAAGCCATCCCAGGCAGGCAGAGGAACTGCAGACGCCCAGGGCTTGACTGAAGCTGGAGACACGGCAGCCTATTTGAGGGGAAGCTGGGAGCTGCCTCTTCCCAGACCCCCTCCTTGTGGATGTGGGGGAGAGCGGTGGTCCTCCGGGGTACCCCTGCTGAGAGCCGGGGGCCCTGTGTGTGTAAACTAGGGCAGGAATGAGACCCCAGGGCTGTGATGGTGCTGCTCAGACGAAGTAGAGCCCCCAGCACCGTTCATAGCTCCTGAAACCCTGCTGGAATCTATTTATTTATTTGACCTGTTTTTCCTCTTGAGCTAATACATTCCATATGTTTTAACTACCTGTTGTGTAAATTAGGAAAAGAGGGGGAAAAGAAACCCTGTTTAAGTTGTGGAGCTGGTGTTTGGTGCAAAGATGCCTCCTGGGATGCCTGTGTATCAGAGTCCTGGTTCTGCTGCTACCTCCAGCTTCCTGGTGATGTGCACGCTGGGAGACAACAGGTGATGGCTCAAGTACTCAGTTCGTGCCACCCACGTGGGAGACCCAGACCGAGTTGTAGGCTCCTGGCTTTGACCTGGCCCGGCCTCAGCTGTGGCAGACATTAGGAGAGTGAACCAGCACGTGAAAGATTTTGTCTGCTTCTGTCTTAAATAAAATGAAAAATAACTTTTAAAAAACTGATTGGGAAGTGGGGAGGAGAAGGGCTCTTAATCCCCATATTTAGGAGTTTGATGGAGAAGCCAGTATTAAATGCGTGTATTTAAAAAAGCAGGTGGGAAGGGACAGCGTTGGGTTCCAGTGGGTTAAGTTCCTGCTTGAGATGCTGACAGCTCATATTGGAGTGCTGCTTGGAGTCCCTGCTGCTTTGCTTCTGATCCAGCTCCCTGCTAATGTGCCTGGGAAGGCAGGGGAAGATGGCCCACATACTTGGGCCCCTGCTACCGGAGTGAGGAGACCGGGATGATTTTCATTTTATTTGAAAGGAAGAGGGACAGAAGGAGAGAGAGGGAGGTCTTGGGTCTGCTGGTTCACTCCCCAAAAGCCAGGAGTCCTGAACTCCCATCTGGGTCTCCCTTGTATATGGCAGGAACCCAAGGACCTGAGTCATCACTTGCTGTCCGCCAGGGTGTGCGTTAGCAGGAAGCTGGGAAGTGTACCAGTAGCTAGGACTCAACCAGGCACTGGTACGGGCTGTGAGGCTCCCAGGGGGTGACTGAACCAATATGCCACATATCTGCCCCAATTTTTTTTTTTAAATGCTGGTTGCAGTACACTAATGTCACTACCACTACCCCTGATGGCTCACAACTGTTTTTATTGAATCTTCACAAAGGATTTTTAAGGCAGGAGTCACCAGGATGTTTATGCCTGGGAAGAGGTGACTTACCCCAGGTTGCTCTTAACTCTTCCCTGACCACTTCCTCTGCTCTTGGGTCTTTTTCTCATGGAACCTGTGTTAAGAATCTCGTGGTCTGAGGAGTATGGAGTTTGGAGAGATCGACATCCCTTGTTTCACAGGGCTAGCAAGAGGCAGATTGCAGATTGGACTAACTTCTGTAACAGCGAAGTCCAACCTGATTTCACTGCATTGAGGCAAGGACCCGGACTCAGACCCTTAGCTTGGGCCTCATACCACCCCATCTCTTCACCTTTTCAATCCCCTACCTCCTTGGGCTCCCCGAGCCGACTTGCTTGAACTCAAGCAAGAGCGTGCTTGGCTTAAACTTTCTGCCCCCCACGCTTTCTCCCGCGCCGCCCGCGCCGTGGGCCATCCCCTCCCCCAGCCCAGCGTGCAGCTGGAAGTCTTCACCGCTCTCCATCTCTCCTCCCTGCCCCCATCGGGGACGAGGAGGCCGGCTGTCCGTCTCCCCCGCCTTCTCCAGATGTAAGTACGTCTACCAAAGACCCCCTAAGTGCAGAGGATGATGAATGAGGACCGGGGGCCGGCCTGGTGGGAAAGCGCTGTCCCCTTGAAATGCGAGGGAAAGGGAAGGGGGTTGGGGGCTGGGCTGGAACCCGGAGCGGCTGGACGCGATGTCCAAAACACCTCGGATCCAAGCCCCCGCTGCTCGGCCAGTGACTTTTCCTCCCTCACGAAGGCGTGAGGAAACGCTCCCGTCTCTGTCGTTGCAATCTGGACTGTGATTTCTTCATTTACAGCAAACCCCCCAGTCCACTCGGGGGCTCCCTCAAGTTTGCTTTCAGCTCCCTCTCCGCGGCGCTCCGGTCCTCTGCCAGGCAGCCCCTCCGCAGGTCCCTCCCAATTCTCCACCATTCTCCGGTTGGGGGGTTAGGGGGCGGAGTCTTGCCTCGCGTCCTGTTCCTTTAAGAGGCGTCGGCTCCTCCCCTTTCGGAATCGCGGTCTGACGCGGGATGACAGCAGCGAGTTCGGTATGTCTATGCAAATAAGCGCCTCCTGCGGGCCAATGGGGAGCGGAGGTGCCGGAACCGCGGACCAATAGGGCGGGGGCGCTGGGGCTCACCATATAAGGAGCGGCCTCGCCATAAAAGGAAACATTGTATCTCTTTATATGGGGGGAAGGGTCGGGGGATCCCTCCGCCGCCAGCGCGTGGTCCCGGCCCCCTCCACCCGCCGTCTCGGCCGCGGCCAGCAGCCCCTGCCCCCCGGGGGACGCTGACGGCCGCTGAGCGCGCCGCCCTAGCATACGGACAGGGGGCGCTGCGCGCGGCCTGGGGCAACCCGGGCCACAGGGGCAGGAAAGTGAGGGCCCAGGTCGGCCCGGGCGTGCAGGGGCCCCGGGTTCGCAGCGGCGGCCGCGGCAGGGATAGCGGCACCAGCAGCAGCAGCAGCAGGAGTGCCGGGTTTCGCCGGGAAGCCGATGGCGGCGGCGGCGGCGGCTCCGATCCCTCGTTGACTGTCCGTCCGCCCTCCTGCATTGAGCGCCATGTTACCGAGCCAAGCTGGGGCCGCGGCGGCTCTGGGCCGGGGCTCGGCCCTGGGGGGCAGCCTGAACCGGACCGCGACGGGGCGGCCGGGCGGAGGAGGCGGCGGCGGCGGGACTCGCGGGGCTAACGGGGGCCGGGTCCCCGGGAACGGCGCGGGGCTCGGGTCGGGCCGCCTGGAGCGGGAGGCTGCAGCGGCGGCGGCGACGACCCCGGCGCCCACCGCGGGGGCCCTCTACAGCGGCAGCGAGGGCGACTCGGAGTCGGGCGAGGAGGAGGAGCTGGGCGCGGAGCGGCGCGGCCTGAAGCGGAGCCTGAGCGAGATGGAGATGGTGGTCGGTGGGCCCGAAGCGTCGGCGGCCGCCGCCGGGGGCTACGGACCCGTGAGCGGCGCGGTGAGCGGGGCCAAGCCCGGCAAGAAGACCCGGGGCCGCGTGAAGATCAAGATGGAGTTCATCGACAACAAGCTGCGGCGCTACACGACCTTCAGCAAGAGGAAGACGGGCATCATGAAGAAGGTACGGAGCCGGCAGGCTGCCGGCCGCGGGGAGCCCCGAGGGGTGGGGACGCGCAGGGGGAGCCCTCAGGGAGGCAGCGCCGAGGCGGAGGTGAGAGGCGGCGAGTCTGCAGGAGGTGTGTGGGAGGGGAGGGCGCGAGGGGAGGGGCTGTCGGGGAAAAGTGGGGAGAGGGGAGATGCGCCGACGTCCGGAATTGAGGGAAAGGGCGCCGAGGTGGGAGTGACCGGCGCGAGAGAGGAAGAGGCCCTGGCCGAGTGAAGGGGCCGAGGAGCGGCGGCCCGCGTGTTGGGTGATGAGGCGCGGGAGCCTGTACGGGTCCGGTGCACCCTGGGGTTCCATGGAGGGCGCCAGGAAAGCGGGGAGCAGAAGAGCAGGTATGGAGGTGAGCAGGCTGGAGCCTGCGTGGGACGGCGGTGGGCACCACTGGAATGGTGCTAGCCGGGACGACAGGCGAGCGGAGGGACCAGGTAGGGGAGCGAGGCCGGAGGCTGGCTGCCCGCTGCCCTGTGCCTTGCACTGCATCCACAGGCAGGACTGGCCGCAGACCTGCCTGTCCTGGGGGACCAGTGGGGTTCCCAGCCTTCAGGAGAATCTGTGCGTGGAGTTTTGGGGGGGGGGAATCTGAGAGGTTTGCACAGGGACCTAGAAATTTGCCAGTTACCCAGTGAAAAGTGGTGAGGAAAGGCGTCATTTTGGGGGGTTGTGAAAGATATGGGAATGGATAGAAGCAGAGGAACTGGGAAAGAAAAAAAAAAAAACACTAGAACCTTGGGAACAGTGACTGGTGTTTTTGTCTGTCCCATATGGAAATCCAAACTGCTCCTAAGGTGGGTTGTGCAACTTTGTTGGGATGGTTGATAGCATCCCTGGGGGTCCCTTTCCTGGGCTCATGGCAAGGTATTTGTTGCTAATACAGCTCCCACCTGCCATCACCTTACATACTCTCATATTGGTGTCCCTTGTCACTTGATCATCAGTGGGGAGGCTGTGGGGAGGTGGTTCATGAAGGGAAACCCCCCTGCCTCCCTCCCTCCCATCCTTCTTCCTTCCCAAGTCAAAGAAAAGAGTAGCACAGTATGCTTGGGTAGAAAGAGAAGTTAGGGCATGGCAACAGGTTAAGGCCTCTGTGGTTCCTGGGCAGAGCTATGGGCAGTCTTAGGTGAGTGCTTATCACGGATGTCAGGTGTGCAGTCCAGTCTGGTAGGGGTCTCTCCTGCTCCCTGTGACTGTGGGGAAGGGGTGGGGGGTCTGTGAAGCTCCAGGCACCAGGCAGTGTTGGGGGGAGGCTGACTGCCTCTCCCCCTACCCCCTGCCGTGTCCCCTGAGGTTATATATTCCATCACTGGCGAGATGTGACTGTTTGCTGGGGGTGTCTGTGGGTCACTGGGGCTGCTCCTCAAAGGAAGAGGACCTGAGTCCTCTTGCTGCTTCAAGCTCACTTTCAGATATCATGATAGGACCCCCCCACACACACACTGCCAGTCACTCAAACAAAAGGTCGTTATGGGAGTGGGAAGTTGCGCTCACTTAGTTTTCCCCTCTCCTACTTCCCAAGGAAGGTAGAAATCAACAGTTTTGCTGACCTGCCCATCTCCCTCCCCATCCCCCAGGCTTATGAGCTGTCCACGCTGACAGGGACACAGGTGCTGTTGCTGGTGGCCAGTGAGACAGGCCATGTGTATACCTTTGCCACCCGCAAACTGCAGCCCATGATCACCAGTGAGACCGGCAAGGCGCTGATTCAGACCTGCCTCAACTCGCCAGACTCGCCACCCCGCTCAGATCCCACCACGGACCAGAGAATGAGTGCCACTGGCTTTGAAGAGACAGATCTCACCTACCAGGTGTCGGAGTCTGACAGCAGTGGGGAGACCAAGGTGTGTTTGGATCGCCTGTGCGAGGGGAAGGAAGGGTAAGGGGGTCCCACTCCCTCCCCAGTCCAGGACTAGCGCACAGGGGCCCACCGCTGTGCAGAGGAATGGGTTAGTACCCCTCGTTCTAGGAGACAGGTGTCCATCCTCGCTTTCCTGACAGGAGGCCGGCCCCCTAGATAAGCGGGCGGCCTCCGTGCCCATATAAGGCCGGCTCGGGCTCCACGCCGGCCTCCCGCCCTCAGCCCGCCTGCCTGGCAGGGCCTTTGCATTCCTCCCGCCAGCTGTCTCCCCGCTGGGGGCGGGGGTGTAGTTTAGCCCAGCCCTCCTGGCAGGCTGGGTCGCTAGGGAGTAGGAAGGGAGCCCTCCGGGTCCCAGGGTCCTGGGAAGCCGGCCGGCTGGCTGACTAGGCTGGGGGACTACCTTGCTAGTCCCTTCAGGATTCGGCCAGGGCAGTCAGGGAGTGCATTTGCTTGCTGCTGGGGGTGCCGGCCCTGGTTACGCCTCCCCCTTCCTTTTCCCGGTAAGGAGAGGGGGCGGGGCTTCCTCCCTTGCTGTCTGGGGAGCTCCTCCTTCTGGGTGGCCCTTAACTAACTGACTAATGGGAGGAAGCGGCAGTGTTTGCCTTAGCAACGCCTCGGCCAATCAGAGGCTTTGAGCCCAGCTGCTTCGCAAACATCCCGCGCTGACCCACCCCCAGCTTTTGAGCCCCCTGATTGACTCAGTTCTCATGTGGGCTTGGTGGCTTGGTTCTCGGCTCATGTCTTCTTCCTTCCCCTTCTAAGAACAAAGCCTTCCTGAGGGGGGAGTGGACATCCTGGGCTCCCCACCTCTCTTCGTCTATATCACGCCCGTAATCATTTTCAAACCAGTCAAGCAGTAGGGCTCAGCAATTCAGGAAATTTTGCTGGGTAAGTTCCATTGGTAGTTTAAATCATGAGTGTTTGGCTAAGCCCCCAAGATCTCCCCCAGAATTCTCAGTCCCCATGTCACATGCCTGGCAAATCAGAGCTGGAGGAACCCTTTTAAAGAGTGCAGAGTTGTCCAGGCCCCCTCATGTTTATACAAGAGGAAAACAGGCTTATAAAAAGAAAGCAGTGGTCTCAGGACCACACAGATGGTCAGTGCCGGAGCTGGGTGGGAATGGATGCTGAGTGTCCTGGCCGCTCAGCCAGTGTGAGAACCACTCCATCCGGGCAGAGAGCTCAGAGAATTACGATCATGAGAACAACAGGTACTTATTTTGGTCTCGTTATGTGCCAGGGACTGTTCCGTGTGTGCACTAGGTATGTTAACTAGTTTAATCTCCACAGCAACCTATGGGGTAGGTATTACCTTCCTTTTAGAGTTAGGAAACTCCCTAAGCAGCAGGGAGATGGTGGAGCGGGGATTGAACCCAAGCACTTTTGGTTTCAGTCTGGGCTCTCAGTCCATGCAGAACTTCTGCAGGGGCGGGGTCTGGCAGAGGCTCACGGCTCCATCTTTACTCTGGGTATAGGACACACTGAAGCCGGTGTTCACGGTCACCAACCTGCCGGGCACCACCTCCACCATCCAAACAGCACCCAGCACCTCTACCACCATGCAAGTCAGCAGCGGCCCCTCCTTCCCCATCACCAACTACCTGGCACCAGTGTCTGCTAGCGTCAGCCCCAGTGCTGTCAGCAGTGCCAACGGGACTGTGCTGAAGAGCACGGGCAGCGGCCCTGTCTCCTCTGGGGGCCTTATGCAGCTGCCCACTAGCTTCACCCTCATGCCTGGTGAGTCACAGAGAGAGATTTGTCCTCCCTGGGGTAAATGGAGCATGCTAAGAGCAGGTTCAGGGCTGGCACCGGGAGAACCTCTTTTCCTGTATCAGAAAAAAGGATGAACAGGGGGCCCGAGTCCAAGAGAAGCCTCTGTGACCTGTTGCAGCTATGCTCCTGCCCACCGCGACCCCTGCTGTCCCATCAGCTGAGTACACTCTGGCCTCATCAGGCTAGCCCAGCCCTGGTCATCCACTGCCAGGGGGATGGTAGACATTCCCCCGCTTGCCTACCGTGACTGTAGGGCAGGCCATGTCCTTAATGGGTCAATACCAACCAAAGAAGGTAAAGGCAAGGCCAGGGGTGGGAGGAGTAGGGTAGGGCAAGAGCATAGCATGGAGCCCCTGGAGAGGAGATTCCTCTTGGACTCCTGGGAAAGAAAGCAATGGGAATCGGGGACTAGTGTGCCAGATCCTAGGACTGGGGTGTTTGGGGGTACTTGGTGCAGGTGGCGACTGGGTGGGACAGAGCACACAAGTAAGATTCTGTGTCTCGTAGGTGGGGCAGTGGCCCAGCAGGTCCCAGTGCAGGCCATTCAGGTGCACCAGGCCCCACAGCAAGCGTCTCCCTCTCGCGACAGCAGCACAGACCTCACGCAGACCTCCTCCAGCGGGACAGGTATAGCTCACAACCCCATCACCCTCCCCGCCCTGCCTGCCCCCTGTGAGGCGTAGCAGTAGCTGCCCAGCAGTATCCTGTCAGCGAATGCCTTAGCAGCTGAAACTGAGGCTTTGAGCCCGAGTGTTGTGGGGAAAGTCAGGTGAGGATGGCTGGGGCTGTGGATTGCAGGAGGAAATTAGAGACGGTTGAAGCTGCCTCCTCCTCCTCATTCAGATGAGGGCCTGGTGGCCTAGAAAGGAGAAGTTACTTGTCTAAAGACACAACATTTGTTTAATCGCAAGGAAGGACTTGGGCAGCAGGTGTCTGCCTGTAGGAGGGGCCGAGGGGTTTGAGCAGCCATGAAATCCCCCTCTGGTGTCTAGTCGCTTCAGAAACGGAGACACTCTCCAGGTTATTAAGTTCTTGTTGTTTACAACTTTGTTGCACAAAGAGTGCTCTGTGGACCCTGAGTACCACCACTGCCGGGGCACTTCTTGGACAGGCAGAATCTTAAGCTTCACCCCAAGGCTACTGACTCAGAATCCGCATTTTAACAAGACTCCCAGGTAACTGGATGCCCGTTAGCACTTGAGACGTGCTGCTTTAAAATTTGTGAGCTGCACTTTTAGGAAGAGGGAAGAGGAAGAGAACCAATAAAAAATGGATCCACAGAGTTCCCTAAGACGCCCCATACTTCCTGACAGTAGCTTGGTCATAAGAATACTCTTTGTTGCTGTTGTAAACGTTTCTTTTCAAAAACTTTTTAAAAGTTTATTTCCATTTTTTAGTTGAAAGGTAGAGAGATAGGAAAACTGAGACACAGAGAGATCTGCTATCTGCAGGTTCAGCTTCCAAATGCCCACAATAGCCGGGGCTTTGTCAAGACCCAGGTCTCCCATGTGGGTGGCAGAGACCCAAGTACTTGAGTTATTATCTGCTACCGCCCAGGATATGCACTGGCAGGAAACTGGGTTGGAAGCGGAGCTGGAACTCAAACCCAGGCGCTCAGCTATGGGATGTAGGCATCTCAAGCAGCGTACTAACTGCTGTGTCAGATGCTTGCCCCGGTCATTGTAATCTGTGTTTTTCCTAAGACCTCAGGTCTTAGAGAATCCAGCAGATAGGCAAATAATGTGATGCAGGAGGATACAATTAAAGGCTGGCGCTGTTGCATTCAAGAAAGAATTGGCTTTTCTTAGTTGATGGAATGGAGAAAAGGAGCGGTCTGGGAGCAGGCAGGAGGACTCTGGAGGCCTGGAATCCCTGGGGTGGGCTGGGGGCAGTCAGTCGAGGAGCGGGCCCTGACGTGTGTCTGTGTTTGCCAGTGACGTTGCCCGCCACCATCATGACACCGTCTGTCCCCACAACCGTGGGCGGCCACATGATGTATCCTAGCCCCCACGCAGTGATGTACGCCCCCACCTCGGGCCTGGCTGACGGCAGCCTCACCGTGCTCAATGCCTTCTCCCAGGCACCATCCACCATGCAGGTGTCCCACAGCCAGGTCCAAGAGCAAGGTGAGTAGAGGCGCAGGGTGAGGCAGGAGGATCATTTCCTCCCTTATACTCCACACCACCCCCTTCTTCCCCTCCCTGCCACTGAGATGCACCCACTCACACACACAGACGTGCACACTCGGATGCTCACACATGTCCTGTGTAAACCATGCTAACTCGGGTGCTCACGCATGTCCTGTGCAAACTACACACACACACGGGTGCTCACGTATATCCTGTGCAAACCACACACACACTCATGTACACACATACATGCACACTCGGGTGCTCACATGTGTCCTGTGCAAACCACACACACACATGCTCACACACACACACACTCAGGTGCTCACACATGTCCTATGCAAATCACACATGTGCATGCACACACACATTTGGTGCTCACGCATGTCCTGTGCAAACCACACACACATGGACACACACACACATACTAGGGTGCTCACGTGTGTCTTGTGCAAACCACACAGACACATGCACACTTGGATGCTCATGGATGCAAACCACACACATGCACACTCGAGTACTCATGCATGTCCTGCAAACCACACATACTCACACACACACACATTTGGGTTCTCACATGTGTCCTGTGCAAGCCATACACATACACACACACATATACATACACTCAGGTGCTCACGAGTGTTCTGTGCAAGCCATAGACACACAGGTGCGCATGCACACACACACACACACACATTGTCCCATCCTTGTCTGTCCACTGGGACACTCACAGCCATACATACCCTGGGACGCACTGGGTCACTCACCCCGGGCAGCTCAGTCTCAGGCTCAGCACCTGTCGTGACTCCTCCAGTATCTGGAGATTTCCTTGTGAGCACGCAGTCTGAATGTCCCCTGTGGTTGTCCCATGCAGGTGGTGTGCCCCAGGTGTTCCTGACAGCACCCTCTGGGACAGTGCAGATCCCTGTCTCTGCAGTTCAGCTTCACCAGGTAGGCGGGGGCGCCTCTCTTCTATCCCAGACAACTATTTCATGTCCCCTGGGGGGAGGGGGCAGCGGGGAGGCGGGTGGTTAGCACCTAGGCAAAGCCAGAACCCTTGGGCTGGGACCCCATTTGTTTCTGTCTGGTCAGGCTAAGCAGGGAGAAAGAAGCCTGCGCTGGCTGGTCGGGGCCCTGCCCCCCGGCCTCACACCCCTGTTCCCTCCAGATGGCTGTGATAGGGCAGCAGGCCGGGAGCAGCAGCAACCTCACCGAGCTACAGGTGGTCAACCTGGACGCCACCCACAGCACCAAGAGTGAATGATCCGCCCTGCCGCCCTGGACAGCTGGCCGAGGGACGGCACCACTTATTTATTGTTGCCTTTTCACGTTTTCTTTACACACACGTTGACGGGCCGCGGGAGGGAGGCGGGGAGGAGGCGCGGGCAGCCACAGGACTACGCCCTCTCGCTCCAGCCAAAGAAATGGGCCTGCCTGCCCTCCCCCCCGCCCCGTCCCCCCTCACCCACTCCTCCTCCGGCGCCGCCTCCCGTGTCTGGGGACAGGACGGTGGAGCTGTCCTCCCTCGGCGGTTTCTCCCTCGCCAGCTTGGCTCGGTGTTTGCCATGAGTATTAGCTTCCCCGACGGGACGGGGCCCCACTCCCTGCTCGCAGGCCTTCTGTGGGACTGGGCACCGTGTCTTCCCCGGAGGGCACAGTCGGGGCCCTCTCTCCAGCCTCTCTGCTGACCCCAGGTCAGCGCCGTGTCTGCCACAGGCTGGGTGAAACCCTGCTGCCGCCCCTCAGGGAGCCAGCTGGGGAGACGGGGTGGGGGGCATCTTCCTTCCCGCGTGCGGCCCTCTGCCCCTTGGGATCCTGAGTAGCTGGGCCCACGCACAGGGCAGGATCCTGGGGCCACCTGCCCTACCTGGCCGCTGCCCGTGGATCTCCAGGGCTCCTCCCCTCTCCTCCAGCTGCTTTACTTAAAGTTGATTTTGAACTTTTTATTTGAGGAGACGAAGTGAAAACAAATCTATAAATATATATTTTTAAAATATTTAACTTTTTTTTATGGCGTTTTTCTCGTCCCCCCTCCTTGCCCAAACTCCCCTTCCCTGGGGAGCCCTGGGGCTCCCCAGAACTGGCTGGGCCCCTGGGGACAGAGCCACCCCATGAGCTTGGGGTCTGCCAGTGTTGGGGGGGAGATGCTGGGACTGCCCGGCCCTGGGTTGTTTCCAGGAGAAAGCCGGGGAGGGGCCTTCAGGCCATGCCCCAACGGGGTGGGGAGGGTCACCCACAGCTCTGGGCCTCTTTTTGCCCTTGAGGGCTGTTGCTAGGGAGAGGGAAGAGGGAGACCAAATGTGGGGGTGTGGGTGGGAGGGCGTCAGGCAGAGGCAACTGACTTCATTTGTGCCACACGCATGGGCATTGCAGCCTTGTGCTCCCCCAGGCCTGCAGCTGCCTGGGGCCCAAGTTGCAGTGAGCAGGGTGGGGTCTGGGAGGGGGTGAGAGGCAGGAATGGGGGTCAGGAGAAGTGGGAGCAGCTCTGGGGCTGAGAGCAGCGATAGGGGAGCCAGGAACCGGCAGCTCTCCCAGGGAGTGAGCAGCTACTGTAACTTTTTTAAATTAAGACAAAAAAAAAAAGCCTTGAAGAAAATGACTTTATTTTTCTAAGTGTAACCTCAGTATTTATGTAATTTGTACAGGGGCCATGCCCCACCCCCCTCTGCCCCCTTTGGGGTGGACCTTAAGGGTGGGCCAGCATAGGGGGAGGGTCCTTTACCCTGTGTCAGAGCCTACCTTCACCACCTGTATCCGAAAGGAAGCTTTTTTCAGACAGGGCAGCAGCTGGGGTGCTGTTCTGGAGCCCCAGGACTGCCTTCAGTAGGAACAAGCCTGCTTCTGTGATTGGGTGAAGGGCTGGGGGAAGATTTTGCGCACAGCCTCGTTGTCAAGGGGATGATTTGCCAATGTGTCGGAGAGCCCCCTAAACCCCTAAACCCCCATTGCTGTCTTGCCCTAATTTGGGGTGCCAAGATGGAAGTCACCTCTCTGGGCTTTCTCCTGGAGATAGCTGGGGCTAATGGGTGGCTTTCTTGGCCGGGGCATGGCAAATCAGGGGCCAGAGAGCTGGGGGAGCTTGGGACTCAGGTCTGTAACTGCCCAGCCCCTTTGCTCTGCTCTTGTTTCACTCCACCGCCACTCACTCACTCCCCACTCCCCCGCCCCGGGGAGGAGAGGCCATGAATGAATTCTTCCTCTCCTTCCCACAAAAGACAGACCCAGTGAGTGAACCAGGCAAAGTGCTTATAATGTGTGTCGTGTGAGCGTGGCCTTGGGAGAACATGCGTGTGTCGGGATGAGGTGGCATTTATACGTGCAACGACCCTTGGTGTGTCCCTTCCTCGGTGGCTCTGGGGTATGTGTGTGTGCGTGCCTGAGTGGATGTGTGTGTGTGTGTGTGTACGTGGGGTGTGTATGTCAGTGGTTTCTACTTCCCCTGGGATGCTGACCCAGGAATAGTGGACGTGGTCACAGTCCTATGTACAGAGCTTTCTTTTGTATTAAAAAAAATACTCTTTCAATAAATGTATCATTTTTGTGCACAGACTGTGGGGTCTTTGGCTGTTTTTCTAAATATGGAGGGAGGGAGGGTAGGGAAGCAAACCCCAACACATTACTGCTACTGGGTGCCTTGGGCTGTTGTGATTGAATGCAAGGAACACTTTGAGGGGCTGGAGGGCTTTCTTCCCACGCTTGGCTTTGCTACGTGCTTAGGTTAGCGGAGCGATTATAACGAATAGGAAAAGTGTCAACAACTAACCTAAAGCATGCCTGAAGGGGCTGGGAAACTCGGGGACCCGCGCCCCACTACAGTCTTGGGGCTGGAGGGCGGGTCGCTCAGGTTTCAGAGTGGAATCTGCGATGGGAGATGGAGGGTCAGGAAAGACATCAGGGACACTTGACAGCTATCTGCAGAGAGAACGAGGAGACCCGATCCCCGGGCTGTGCCCACGCTTTCCACGCAGCCGCCCGCGGCCAGCACGCATGCTCCGCTCGCGCGCCGTTCCGCCGCGCTGGGCGTGGGCCGCCGGGGGACCCGTAGCTGCCCGGCCGCGCGTGCGCTCGCGGCGTGACCCGGAAGGGAGCGGCTGAGGAGGCGGGGCCAGCGCGGCGGGACTGGCTGCTGGGTCCCAGCGAGGGCCGAGCCGGGCGGTGGGAGGTGAGAGGAGAGTTCTGCGCGGACGCGGTCCCTCTCCCGATCCCTCCCCGGTCCCTTAGCCACTCTCCGTGGAGCTGAGGAAAGGAACTGGGCTTTGCCCTCTGAGATTCGCTGGGTCCTGTCAGCCTCCTCGGGCCGCACCTCCCCATCCTCACCTGCCCTCCAGACCCTTTCCCTGGTCCGGTCGGGTCCGTACCGGCCTCCTGCACTGCCTAGCTGGTCTGCAGGCTTGGGCTCCAGGTCTAGACCCCCTTCCCCGCCCCCCTATAGGCCTATAGAATCATTTGACTTCGCCTTCGCTAGTCACGTGCCTGTTGCCACATCCCTGGTTACCTCTCAGCGGAGGGGGCCCCTGCCCCCATGAGGTCCACATCCTTCGTTTCTCCTCCCCCTCACTTAGTAAGTTGAGAGTCACGTTAGGACTGGAGTCTGTACTGTAGCGCCTCACCCCCTGCCTTCAGCCCCATGACCCTAGATCGTTACCATACATAAAGCGTAGGTAGAGGTGGGACCTAGTCTTTTTCTTCTGTAATTTTACCCAGTTCCTGGGCCTCTCCCCTTTTTACAAGGCTGTCACCGTTTTCCCCATCTGGTCATCTGCCCCTCCATCCCAGTCCCTTTTCATCCGTGTTTTCCAAGTCTGCTGTGGCCCACCTCTTTATCCGCATGTTCCCTGGCGTGTGCGCTGCGTGCTTGCCCCCACCTGGTCCCGTGTTTCTGCACATCCTGGCTCCGGCCCCACTGTCCTTCCTGTTCACCCACGTCACCCTTCCAAGCTAGATCTGTGCTCCTCAGCTACCAGGCTCTGCTGTGCAGACCGTCCTGCTCGACTTCCGCTCTGGGTATTGTTACTTACCTGCATTCTCCTTCTCTTTGAGATCTCAGTGTGTTCAGATGCTCACATGTATCCCATCCTGTTTGTCATCTTCCTGGCCCCTGAATTCCTTCGTAAAGCCTGTCTGTCACAGCCCACCCCGTGTTCCAGGAGTCTGCCTCCCTCTCTGTGGTCTTCCCTAGTCCCACACGGCATTATCTTTCTCCTGTTGTATCCTAGGAGGTCACGATGGTGGGGGAACGATGTGCTGAGGACCTCATGGTGCCCTTGGGGCCCCGGCTGCAGGCGTATCCCGAAGAACTCATTCGACAGCGGCCCGGGCATGATGGGCACCCTGAATACCTGATCCGCTGGAATGTCCTCAGGCGTGGGGAGGTGGGCAGAGTGGGTGTGGAGGAAGGCAAGGCGGAGCACATCCTCATGTGGCTGTCAGCTCCTGAGGTCTACGCCAGCTGTCCCAGGCTGTTAGGTGAGCAGGCACGAGCCAAGGGACCCCAGAACGAACCAGCAGGGGGTTCAGGAAGCTTTCCCCGAGATCCAGGAGGCCTGGACGAAGTGGCAATGGGAGAGATGGAGGCTGACGTGAGGGCGCTGGTACGCAGGGCTGCCAGGCAGCTGGCAGAAGGCGGGACCTCAAACCTGCCAGCTGCCGTGCTGCACACCATCCACGTGCTCAGTGCCTATGCCAGCATCGGGCCCCTCACCAAGGTCTTCAGGGAGACGGGAGCCCTGGACCTGCTCATGCACATGTTGTGCAACCCCGAGCCTCAGATCCGGCGGAGCGCGGGCAAGATGCTGCAGGCTCTGGCAGCCCACGATGCCGGTAAGAGACAGTGTTGGAAAGAATGGGGCCACGTGGCATAGGAACAGAAAGAACAGTGGTTTCCCAACTCTGTAAGAACACGTAGCTCTTGGTTAATACCAATTCAGTGCAAAGGAAAAGTAGTACATTAACAGTGTATCATTTCAGGTACTTAAACAGGATAAAATCATTAATACCTGGTTCATGGATCCATTTTTTTTAAATTTCTCAATCCATGTTATTTTTTAAAATTTATTTCAAGATTAATTTATTTACTTAAAAGGTAGAGTTACAAAGAGGAAGAGGCAGAGGCAGAGAGAAAGATCTTCCATCCTCTGGTTCACTCCCCTAATGGCCGTGATGGCTAGAGATGGGACAGTCCAAAGCCAGGAGCTTCTTCTGGGTCTCCCACACGGGTGCAGGGGCCCAAGGACTTGGGTCATCTTCCACGGCTTTCCCAGGCACCTTTCCCAGGGAGCTGGATCAGAAGTGGAGCAGCTGGGACTTGAACTGATGCCCATATGGGATCCTGGCACTGCAGGAGGCAGCTTAACCTGCTACGCCACATCACTGGCTCCTCATGTGTTCATTCTTAGTGCAATCGCAGAGAAAAGAATGGGGTAGATTTTCATTTTTTTAAAAAATTATTTATTTTGAAAGTCAAGAGTTAGAGAAAGAGAAAGAGAGATACTCCATCTGCCGGTTCACACCCCAGATGGCTGCAATGGCCAGCTCTGGGCCAGGCTGAAGCCAGGAGCCAGGATCTTCGTCCAGATTTTCTATGTGTGTGACAAGGCCCTAAACACCTGGGCCATCTTCTGCTGCTTTTCCCAGGTGATTAACAGGGAGCTGGATCTGAAGTGAGGCAGCCAGGTCATAAACTGGCACACTTGTGGGATTCTGGCCTTGTAGGTGGCAGCTTTACCCGCCGTGCCACAAAGCTGGCTCAGGATGTACATTTTTAAAACTGTGAGTTGCGATTGATTAGTTGGTTGTGAAACCCATTTGATGGGTTACAACCAACATTTTTTTTCTTAAAAAAAAAAACAACAAAATATCAGTGTACAGGACTTGGTAAGTTTTGTAGCCTGAAATATGTTTCAGTTCTAGATGCATTTGTTTATGCAGAGCTACATGTAAAATGTATCCCTTGCTGTGGGTCTCCTCACAGAGAAGTTGGAAAGCCTCTAGGGAGGGGGATAAAAAGTCTAGGCAAGGCAGGGAGAAAGGGTTTGGGATGGAGAAGGTGCAGATTGGTTGTGGGTTACAGGGAGCCGGGCTCACGTCCTTCTGTCACTGAGCCAGCAAGATGGCATCGAGCAGCACATGGATTTTGACAGCCGCTACACTTTGCTGGAGCTGTTTGCAGAGACCACGTCCTCTGAAGAGCACTGCATGGCCTTCGAGGGCATTCACCTGCCTCAGGTACTCTGCTGGCTGTAGGGGTGCTGAGCACAAAGCCTAAGACGTTATTTCTGAAAAGCTGGTCCAGGCCTGGGCATCAGCCCCAGAGCCCCGGAGAGCTAGTTAAAATGAAGGTCCATGCCCCGTCCCTGACTACTCTATTCAGAATTTTTGAAATTAGAACCCAGGAATCTGTGGTTTATATGTTTCTCACACAAATAGAAGTTTGAGGACTGCAGGCCTATTTCTCTAGAGGAGGGGAAGTGGGAGAGGCTGAAGCCAGGGGGAAGTGAACCTATGCCAAGGATTGTGTCCTGCAGATCCCAGGGAAGCTGCTCTTCTCGCTGGTGAAACGCTACCTTTGTGTCACCTCCCTGCTGGACCAGCTGAACAGTAGTCCAGACCCAGGAGCCGCAGACCAAAGCTCCCTGTGCCCTATGAGGCAGAAAAGCCGGGGACAGCGGGAGCTGGAATTCAGTATGGCTGTGGGCAGCCTCATTTCAGAGCTGGTGCGGAGCATGGGCTGGGCCCGGAACCTCAGTGAACAGGGCACGTTGCCACCCCGGCCGACGCGGTCCATTTTTCAGCCCTGCATTTCAGGGCCTCCCCTGTTACTCCCCACCATCGTCACCACCCCCAGAAGGCAAGAGCAGGCCTTCCGCCAGCGCTCTGAATTCTCTAGCCGCAGTGGCTATGGTGAGTACGTACAGCAGATGCTGCAGCCGGGGATGCGTGTGCGGATGCTGGATGACTATGAGGAGATCAGTGCCGGCGACAAGGGCGAGTTCCGGCAGAGCAACAATGGCGTGCCCCCTGTGCAGGTGGGTGTGTGACGCTTGTGGGTGGGACACTGCTGGAGGTCTGTTCTGGGTGGGGCACAGCCGGAGCTTCCATGAAAGAGGCTCTAGAAGGCCACTCGGGAAAAACCCGAGGGGAATTGGAGTGGTAAAAGAGGGTCAGGAGTTGAGAGGGTGCCCTTGGAGGGTGAGGTCCTGGAGAGGCTACCCCAGGAGCAGACTGATGTATGGAGATGCCCCCCTCGCCAGTGGATAAGGGTGGGAACCGAGGCCCCCCACCCCCCTGCCAGTGGAGAAGGTTGGGAATGGAGGCTCCTACCCCCCCACCAGTGGAGAAGGGTAGGAGCGAAGGCCTGAAGGTTAGGCAAAGAGGCAGGGCCTGTGTGTCAGAAGGCATGGGAGCCTTTTGCTCTGTGGAGATTTTTCCAAGCCTAGTGAGGTGTTTATCTGAGAGTGTGCCCCAGATCTGGGCCTGGGCATGTCCTCTCGAGACTTCATAGTCCGGGGCTCAGAGCACTGAGCCCTCCGTATTCTTTCCTCTCTTCCTCCC